TGGCAATCGATGATATAGAGCAAGCCTGGGAATGCCACCCTTTAGTTCGTAAAGTTGCTGATTTTGGCGAAGGCTGCTTTGGTGAAATACAGACTAATTCCAGTCTACAGTCCAAAACGAATCGCGTAAACCAAGGTACACCCATGTATATGGCCCCCCCGAGATGCTAGTTGAAGAGATGCGATTGCCAGTTGCATCAGCAGTCTTTTGCATGATCTTCTCTGTCCTTATTAATTGAGCATCTGGTACCCATACTATGGGAAAATTCAAGAAGCCCTAGAAGGGGAAAGCGCCTATTTGGACGTTTGAGAATCTCTTTAAGAACAGGAAAGTTTGAGTTTGATAGCAGCTACACGGTGGAGACCAAGAATGAAAAGATATAATGTGACAAGAGCTGCAAATCCTTTTCGCGATGGTGGTGGTTTCTGCCCTCATGTTCTTGTTGTTGCAGAGAAAATTGAAAAGCTGCGAAGCTTCATGGATTCCTACAAGAAATCTAGTAACAAACTGGGCAACATCAGCGCAAACCTCCCTAAACAACTTGGGGGGAAAGCCAAATCAAGAAAAGAAACCAAGAAGAGGAAAAAACAATGTGAGCCAGGAACCAGTCCTGTTAGAGGAAGACTATTCCGACATGATGGCACCAAAACCCATGAGGTAAACCGAATATTACCAAAATGACGAGCCCTTCTATGTAGTATTCATTCATCACTATGCAAACGCAACAACATGCATTGGTTGCACAAATGAGTTCCCCAAGCGAGTACAGATAGCACCCTACAACATTGCCATACTTCGCAAAGAGCGTTACTGGTACCTAAAAAGATGATCAAGGGAATGTTGAAATGGTACCAACCCATAAAAAGAAGGCCAAGAGGTTTTACTGCGTACATAAAGAGTGTATTCTTCGAAGGCACCCTTAGTTCTGGAGAGGTTTGGTAACTGTCTCTACTAATGTCCAGGGGCGCTTGAAAGAGAGCCACAAGGATCTATATGCAATGCTAAAGTTTAGATAACAAGAGGATAATGCACAAAGCAAACTCAACTAAAGGAGGAGTAAGATTTCAACTGGTCTTATTGCTACTCATATGATGCCACCTATGAACGATAGAAAAACCAATTGTGAGCGTCCATCTGGCACAGCTTGATGTTATTGTGCATCATTTTTCGGTTACTGCGCCTCTGAAGTGTCATTCCTAGCAAAATTGCCAGGGGCATAGCCAGCCCATACTGAGATCTGTAGGCCCAAGCCTAAAACTTTTTGGTTTGATCGCTCTACCGCTTGTAATAAATTATGCATTGCTGGAGTGAGCTTAAAAGGTTAAGTCTATTGGTGAGGTCAGTGTGTATTAGCAGTGCGTGCAATTTTCAGGATATCTATGTTAAATGAAAAAGTCAGCCAGGCCTACAACTGGTCGAAAAGCTGGCTACACCCTTGACTGCTTGCTGATCGTGGTAGTGAGCTTTCTTTGTATGTCTGATCCACAATATTTGTCCTGTATCCTTTCGTTTCTCTATTAAGGTTTTGCTCAAATAAATTTTCAAGAATGCAAACGGCTGTCTCCTATAGGTTTTGCCGCACGGATTAAAGAGGGCCCAAAATCTAACTTGCAATGACATTGAACCTATTAATGATTCGGAGATGGACGCTCATAGGCTCCTCGTTAGGCCCTGTTCCTTATTCCCAGTAAATTTTCACAACAACAACAGCAACAAAAGTACGTTTCATATTAGCTTGCGATATTTGGTGGTGAGGTGAGGCACGAATATTTGTATTTCCTACTAGGTTATTTAGTTTCTTTTCATGATTTATTTCAGTACCGTGCAGTACACGAAAAATTACTCGCATAATAAGATGATTATCGAAATAGTGAATGCTGCTGATAGAATCAAGGGAATAATCTATCCACAAAAAGTAACTGGTTTGATAAAAATAACATCCTACTATACGTATACTTACTTTTTTTTTTTTACTTCAGACAACATTGATTCGGGGTGACGGATTTACGGCGTTTAAAAAGAATGAAATAATAAATGAATTAAATGTTTGTAAAAGCACCCGTTTTAAACAAGTGTGTCAACTACTTTTGTCCCTCATGTAGCTTCGCAAAAATAGTAATAATTTCTTGCAAAATTACAACATTTTGAAATGACTTTTAAATACGACTCATTAATAACGGTTTTGGACTGATTAGTGTTCAACTCGGTCTGTAATGATACGAGTGATTACTGAAATGGACGACACAAAGTCCTGGTATCAATTAATCATAACCATTGCAATTTCCGAGGAAATAAATACATCCTTTTTGGTGGAAGAGCTTTTAATAACAATCATCCAAAATAAGGGAAACTTTCCCCAATTTCTCTCTCAGAGACAGTCTAATGTTACAAATTCGTCCAATTTGGAGAATCCCCAGTTTACTAGGTTAAGCGGTTGTTGCTATGCTTATTGAGATAACTTCTGTGATTGGTGGATTTTTGCCAAGTGCAGTTAATAATGAGTTTTAGAAATAAAAAGAGAAGCCTCCAGAGTCGTCAGGAATTGATCAGTAGTTTTATGTTTACACTTATTTCCATGGCAAGAAAACAAATTTAAAGGACGACAAAAGAGAGAAAGAGAAGTGAAAAATGCAGAAGCAGAGCAAACTCCCCAAAACAGAACAGGAATATTCACACAACACCAGCTCTTTGGCCTTGAACTAGAATTTGAACTAAAAGAAATTGTGTCAAGTAATGAAATTTCCGATATTTCTCAAAGACTGCAACTTAGTGAACCCCAAGTTAGACCTTCGTTTTAACACAGACGAGCAAAATGGAGGAGAAAAGGAATGCTACGCAGACCTGATGCTCACTGCAAAAGGAAACTTTACGCTTAAAAGCTTGTTAACTGGATTTATAGCCATTGACATTTTTATGGTTGGTGGCTTCTAGAGAAGCCGTTTTTTTCTAATAGCCTTAGCATTCAAAGCTAAAGACTGTCAATTATCTGAGCTATTTTAGCTGAAAAGCTGTCCTTTTGTTCCTGTTGTTCTTCTTTGGAAAACAAACGTTTCATCACTGATTGGCAGTTTTCTTTACTGTCCAAATTTGTGCTGTGAATCTTCTTCATATGCCTGTCAAGCCATGAAATGAATATGTTGATTGACATGCTTCACCAAAGAGCAGTTTACTAGGTTTTGAAGAGGATGCTTTAAATTGTTCTTCTTGGTCTTTCTTGATGACATCGTTTCAAATGTTTGTCCAACCCTTTGAAATACAAGCCAGCTTGTTAACAACCAGAAAATCAGCAGTAAACATCTGAAGCCATGATTTCTAATAACGCTTACTCAGTAGCTACGCAATCGAACTTTGTCTGCCATTGGCTTGGCAATACAAATGTACAATGTACACCTGGGATTTGAGGCCAGATGTATTTGCATAATCATAGTAAGCACGTGGCACCTCGTGCTTGACTTCATTTGCCTATCAAAAACGCAAAAACAAATAATGCCTTCTCTGCAGAGCGCACTATGCGATTCGTGCCAGGGTTCAGTGCTATTTAGAGTTCAACCCTCATTTAAAATGGAATTACTGTTTTTCGATTTTCTTTTGTAATATTTTCAATTGCTCGAATGGTTCCCTGCCTGGTGGCTACACAGAATTTCTTCTCATTTCTCGTTTTTCCTACTTTTTCCATTCAAAGGAGAAAAGGTGTAACACTTAAACTTGGTCTTAATGTAACTGTAATGAAGTTGAAACGAATACAATAAGCTTCTCTCCAATTTTTTTTTTAGGGACAAAATCTTAGAAAAATTGTGTCTTGGGACAGGAAGACATGAAGCTGAACTGTAATTTGGTATGTATATTATTTCGTCCCGAGAAGACCATTTCAAGGTTTTTTTTTTTTTGAGGGAAAGGAAGTACAACAGGAAAACATGGCCAATCTTTGCTTTAAAGCGCTAACAAGTGTATGCTGCAGTTAAATGGTCATCATTTGTAATAGTCGATCATGCACACGCATTATACCTGTTTTAAGACAGATGTAGACTTTACCACAAGTTGACTTTTTTTGAGCAACATAGTTGTGAAAAGAGTGCCCAACGAAAATGGACTTTCAGAAAGTCTAAGGCAGATGTGTAGGAATTTTAGTACCTTCTGGAGGCCTCGGTTGTCGGCTTTGGGTTTACCTCTAGCAAAATTTGGTTTCGTGTCTGGTTTGAATTTGCAACAGAACCTGGAAACAAAAAACTTTTTAACCTATTAATTCATTGATCTAGACCATTTTTATGAGCGTCAAAGAACACAATACAATACCTGCACCAAAATGGTGTCGCTCACCGAGATCTTAAGCCAGCAAATATCCTGATCAGCAATTAACATTATTGTGATTTGGCAATCGATGATATAGAGCAAGCCTGGGAATGCCACCCTTTAGTTCGTAAAGTTGCTGATTTTGGCGAAGGCTGCTTTGGTGAAATACAGACTAATTCCAGTCTACAGTCCAAAACGAATCGCGTAAACCAAGGTACACCCATGTATATGGCCCCGAGATGCTAGTTGAAGAGATGCGATTGCCAGTTGCATCAGCAGTCTTTTGGCATGATCTTCTCTGTCCTTATTAATTGAGCATCTGGTACCCATACTATGGGAAAATTCAAGAAGCCCTAGAAGGGGAAAGCGCCTATTTGGACGTTTGAGAATCTCTTTAAGAACAGGAAAGTTTGAGTTTGATAGCAGCTACACGGTGGAGACCAAGAATGAAAAGATATAATGTGACAAGAGCTGCAAATCCTTTCGCGATGGTGGTGGTTTCTGCCCTCATGTTCTTGTTGTTGCAGAGAAAATTGAAAAGCTGCGAAGCTTCATGGATTCCTACAAGAAATCTAGTAACAAACTGGGCAACATCAGCGCAAACCTCCCTAAACAACTTGGGGGGAAAGCCAAATCAAGAAAAGAAACCAAGAAGAGGAAAAAACAATGTGAGCCAGGAACCAGTCCTGTTAGAGGAAGACTATTCCGACATGATGGCACCAAAACCCATGAGGTAAACCGAATATTACCAAAATGACGAGCCCTTCTATGTAGTATTCATTCATCACTATGCAAACGCAACAACATGCATTGGTTGCACAAATGAGTTCCCCAAGCGAGTACAGATAGCACCCTACAACATTGCCATACTTCGCGCGCAAAGAGCGTTACTGGTACCTAAAAAAAGATGATCAAGGGAATGTTGAAATGGTACCAACCCATAAAAAGAAGGCCAAGAGGTTTTACTGCGTACATAAAGAGTGTATTCTTCGAAGGCACCCTTAGTTCTGGAGAGGTTTGGTAACTGTCTCTACTAATGTCCAGGGGCGCTTGAAAGAGAGCCACAAGGATCTATATGCAATGCTAAAGTTTAGATAACAAGAGGATAATGCACAAAGCAAACTCAACTAAAGGAGGAGTAAGATTTCAACTGGTCTTATTGCTACTCATATGATGCCACCTATGAACGATAGAAAAACCAATTGTGAGCGTCCATCTGGCACAGCTTGATGTTATTGTGCATCATTTTTCGGTTACTGCGCCTCTGAAGTGTCATTCCTAGCAAAATTGCCAGGGGGGCATAGCCAGCCCATACTGAGATCTGTAGGCCCAAGCCTAAAACTTTTTGGTTTGATCGCTCTACCGCTTGTAATAAATTATGCATTGCTGGAGTGAGCTTAAAAGGTTAAGTCTATTGGTGAGGTCAGTGTGTATTAGCAGTGCGTGCAATTTTCAGGATATCTATGTTAAATGAAAGTCAGCCAGGCCTACAACTGGTCGAAAAGCTGGCTACACCCTTGACTGCTTGCTGATCGTGGTAGTGAGCTTTCTTTGTATGTCTGATCCACAATATTTGTCCTGTATCCTTTCGTTTCTCTATTAAGGTTTTGCTCAAATAAATTTTCAAGAATGCAAACGGCTGTCTCCTATAGGTTTTGCCGCACGGATTAAAGAGGGCCCAAAATCTAACTTGCAATGACATTGAACCTATTAATGATTCGGAGATGGACGCTCTACAGCTCATAGGCTCCTCGTTAGGCCCTGTTCCTTATTCCCAGTAAATTTTCACAACAACAACAGCAACAAAAGTACGTTTCATATTAGCTTGCGATATTTGGTGGTGAGGTGAGGCACGAATATTTGTATTTCCTACTAGGTTATTTAGTTTCTTTTCATGATTTATTTCAGTACCGTGCAGTACACGAAAAATTACTCGCATAATAAGATGATTATCGAAATAGTGAATGCTGCTGATAGAATCAAGGGAATAATCTATCCACAAAAAAGTAACTGGTTTGATAAAAATAACATCCTACTATACGTATACTTACTTTTTTTTTTTTCAGACAACATTGATTCGGGGTGACGGATTTACGGCGTTTAAAAAGAATGAAATAATAAATGAATTAAATGTTTGTAAAAAGCACCCGTTTTAAACAAGTGTGTCAACTACTTTTGTCCCTCATGTAGCTTCATAAAATAGTAATAATTTCTTGCAAAATTACAACATTTTGAAATGACTTTTAAATACGACTCATTAATAACGGTTTTGGACTGATTAGTGTTCAACTCGGTCTGTAATGATACGAGTGATTACTGAAATGGACGACACAAAGTCCTGGTATCAATTAATCATAACCATTGCAATTTCCGAGGAAATAAATACATCCTTTTTGGTGGAAGAGCTTTTAATAACAATCATCCAAAATAAGGGAAACTTTCCCAATTTCTCTCTCAGAGACAGTCTAATGTTACAAATTCGTCCAATTTGGAGAATCCCCAGTTTACTAGGTTAAGCGGTTGTTGCTATGCTTATTGAGATAACTTCTGTGATTGGTGGATTTTGCCAAGTGCAGTTAATAATGAGTTTTAGAAATAAAAGAGAAGCCTCCAGAGTCGTCAGGAATTGATCAGTAGTTTTATGTTTACACTTATTTCCATGGCAAGAAAACAAATTTAAAGGACGACAAAAGAGAGAAAGAGAAGTGAAAAATGCAGAAGCAGAGCAAACTCCCCAAAACAGAACAGGAATATTCACACAACACCAGCTCTTTGGCCTTGAACTAGAATTTGAACTAAAAGAAATTGTGTCAAGTAATGAAATTTCCGATATTTCTCAAAGACTGCAACTTAGTGAACCCCAAGTTAGACCTTCGTTTTAACACAGACGAGCAAAATGGAGGAGAAAAGGAATGCTACGCAGACCTGATGCTCACTGCAAAAGGAAACTTTACGCTTAAAAAGCTTGTTAACTGGATTTATAGCCATTGACATTTTTATGGTTGGTGGCTTCTAGAGAAGCCGTTTTTTTCTAATAGCCTTAGCATTCAAAGCTAAAGACTGTCAATTATCTGAGCTATTTTAGCTGAAAAGCTGTCCTTTTGTTCCTGTTGTTCTTCTTTGGAAAACAAACGTTTCATCACTGATTGGCAGTTTTCTTTTACTGTCCAAATTTGTGCTGTGAATCTTCTTCATATGCCTGTCAAGCCATGAAATGAATATGTTGATTGACATGCTTCACCAAAGAGCAGTTTACTAGGTTTTGAAGAGGATGCTTTAAATTGTTCTTCTTGGTCTTTCTTGGATGACATCGTTTCAAATGTTTGTCCAACCCTTTGAAATACAAGCCAGCTTGTTAACAACCAGAAAATCAGCAGTAAACATCTGAAGCCATGATTTCTAATAACGCTTACTCAGTAGCTACGCAATCGAACTTTGTCTGCCATTGGCTTGGCAATACAAATGTACAATGTACACCTGGGATTTGAGGCCAGATGTATTTGCATAATCATAGTAAGCACGTGGCACCTCGTGCTTGACTTCATTTGCCTATCAAAAACGCAAAACAAATAATGCCTTCTCTGCAGAGCGCACTATGCGATTCGTGCCAGGGTTCAGTGCTATTTAGAGTTCAACCCTCATTTAAAATGGAATTACTGTTTTTCGATTTTCTTTTGTAATATTTTCAATTGCTCGAATGGTTCCCTGCCTGGTGGCTACACAGAATTTCTTCTCATTTCTCGTTTTTCCTACTTTTTCCATTCAAAGGAGAAAAGGTTTAACACTTAAACTTGGTCTTAATGTAACTGTAATGAAGTTGAAACGAATACAATAAGCTTCTCTCCAATTTTTTTTAGGGACAAAATCTTAGAAAAATTGTGTCTTGGGACAGGAAGACATGAAGCTGAACTGTAATTTGGTATGTATATTATTTCGTCCCGAGAAGACCATTTCAAGGTTTTTTTCCTTTGAGGGAAAGGAAGAACAACAGGAAAACATGGCCAATCTTTGCTTTAAAGCGCTAACAAGTGTATGCTGCAGTTAAATGGTCATCATTTGTAATAGTCGATCATGCACACGCATTATACCTGTTTTAAGACAGATGTAGACTTTACCACAAGTTGACTTTTTTTGAGCAACATAGTTGTGAAAAGAGTGCCCAACGAAAATGGACTTTCAGAAAGTCTAAGGCAGATGTGTAGGAATTTTAGTACCTTCTGGAGGCCTCGGTTGTCGGCTTTGGGTTTACCTCTAGCAAAATTTGGTTTCGTGTCTGGTTTGAATTTGCAACAGAACCTGGAAACAAAAACTTTTTAACCTATTAATTCATTGATCTAGACCATTTTTATGAGCGTCAAAGAACACAATACAATACCTGCACCAAAATGGTGTCGCTCACCGAGATCTTAAGCCAGCAAATATCCTGATCAGCAATTAACATTATTGTGATTTGGCAATCGATGATATAGAGCAAGCCTGGGAATGCCACCCTTTAGTTCGTAAAGTTGCTGATTTTGGCGAAGGCTGCTTTGGTGAAATACAGACTAATTCCAGTCTACAGTCCAAAACGAATCGCGAAACCAAGGTACACCCATGTATATGGCCCCGAGATGCTAGTTGAAGAGATGCGATTGCCAGTTGCATCAGCAGTCTTTTGGCATGATCTTCTCTGTCCTTATTAATTGAGCATCTGGTACCCATACTATGGGAAAATTCAAGAAGCCCTAGAAGGGGAAAGCGCCTATTTGGACGTTTGAGAATCTCTTTAAGAACAGGAAAGTTTGAGTTTGATAGCAGCTACACGGTGCAGACCAAGAATGAAAAGATATAATGTGACAAGAGCTGCAAATCCTTTCGCGATGGTGGTGGTTTCTGCCCTCATGTTCTTGTTGTTGCAGAGAAAATTGAAAAGCTGCGAAGCTTCATGGATTCCTACAAGAAATCTAGTAACAAACTGGGCAACATCAGCGCAAACCTCCCTAAACAACTTGGGGGAAAGCCAAATCAAGAAAAGAAACCAAGAAGAGGAAAAAACAATGTGAGCCAGGAACCAGTCCTGTTAGAGGAAGACTATTCCGACATGATGGCACCAAAACCCATGAGGTAAACCGAATATTACCAAAATGACGAGCCCTTCTATGTAGTATTCATTCATCACTATGCAAACGCAACAACATGCATTGGTTGCACAAATGAGTTCCCAAGCGAGTACAGATAGCACCCTACAACATTGCCATACTTCAAAAGAGCGTTACTGGTACCTAAAAAAAGATGATCAAGGGAATGTTGAAATGGTACCAACCCATAAAAAAGAAGGCCAAGAGGTTTTACTGCGTACATAAAGAGTGTATTCTTCGAAGGCACCCTTAGTTCTGGAGAGGTTTGGTAACTGTCTCTACTAATGTCCAGGGGCGCTTGAAAGAGAGCCACAAGGATCTATATGCAATGCTAAAGTTTAGATAACAAGAGGATAATGCACAAAGCAAACTCAACTAAAGGAGGAGTAAGATTTCAACTGGTCTTATTGCTACTCATATGATGCCACCTATGAACGATAGAAAAACCAATTGTGAGCGTCCATCTGGCACAGCTTGATGTTATTGTGCATCATTTTTCGGTTACTGCGCCTCTGAAGTGTCATTCCTAGCAAAATTGCCAGGGGCATAGCCAGCCCATACTGAGATCTGTAGGCCCAAGCCTAAAACTTTTTTGGTTTGATCGCTCTACCGCTTGTAATAAATTATGCATTGCTGGAGTGAGCTTAAAAGGTTAAGTCTATTGGTGAGGTCAGTGTGTATTAGCAGTGCGTGCAATTTTCAGGATATCTATGTTAAATGAAAGTCAGCCAGGCCTACAACTGGTCGAAAAGCTGGCTACACCCTTGACTGCTTGCTGATCGTGGTAGTGAGCTTTCTTTGTATGTCTGATCCACAATATTTGTCCTGTATCCTTTCGTTTCTCTATTAAGGTTTTGCTCAAATAAATTTTCAAGAATGCAAACGGCTGTCTCCTATAGGTTTTGCCGCACGGATTAAAGAGGGCCCAAAATCTAACTTGCAATGACATTGAACCTATTAATGATTCGGAGATGGACGCTCTACAGCTCATAGGCTCCTCGTTAGGCCCTGTTCCTTATTCCCAGTAAATTTTCACAACAACAACAGCAACAAAAGTACGTTTCATATTAGCTTGCGATATTTGGTGGTGAGGTGAGGCACGAATATTTGTATTTCCTACTAGGTTATTTAGTTTCTTTTCATGATTTATTTCAGTACCGTGCAGTACACGAAAAATTACTCGCATAATAAGATGATTATCGAAATAGTGAATGCTGCTGATAGAATCAAGGGAATAATCTATCCACAAAAAAAGTAACTGGTTTGATAAAAATAACATCCTACTATACGTATACTTACTTTTTTTTTTTTTACTTCAGACAACATTGATTCGGGGTGACGGGATTTACGGCGTTTAAAAAGAATGAAATAATAAATGAATTAAATGTTTGTAAAAAGCACCTGTTTTAAACAAGTGTGTCAACTACTTTTGTCCCTCATGTAGCTTCATAAAATAGTAATAATTTCTTGCAAAATTACAACATTTTGAAATGACTTTTAAATACGACTCATTAATAACGGTTTTGGACTGATTAGTGTTCAACTCGGTCTGTAATGATACGAGTGATTACTGAAATGGACGACACAAAGTCCTGGTATCAATTAATCATAACCATTGCAATTTCCGAGGAAATAAATACATCCTTTTTGGTGGAAGAGCTTTTAATAACAATCATCCAAAATAAGGGAAACTTTCCCCAATTTCTCTCTCAGAGACAGTCTAATGTTACAAATTCGTCCAATTTGGAGAATCCCCAGTTTACTAGGTTAAGCGGTTGTTGCTATGCTTATTGAGATAACTTATGTGATTGGTGGATTTTTGCCAAGTGCAGTTAATAATGAGTTTTAGAAATAAAAAGAGAAGCCTCCAGAGTCGTCAGGAATTGATCAGTAGTTTTATGTTTACACTTATTTCCATGGCAAGAAAACAAATTTAAAGGACGACAAAAGAGAGAAAGAGAAGTGAAAAATGCAGAAGCAGAGCAAACTCCCCAAAACAGAACAGGAATATTCACACAACACCAGCTCTTTTGGCCTTGAACTAGAATTTGAACTAAAAGAAATTGTGTCAAGTAATGAAATTTCCGATATTTCTCAAAGACTGCAACTTAGTGAACCCCAAGTTAGACCTTCGTTTTAACACAGACGAGCAAAATGGAGGAGAAAAGGAATGCTACGCAGACCTGATGCTCACTGCAAAAGGAAACTTTACGCTTAAAAGCTTGTTAACTGGATTTATAGCCATTGACATTTTTATGGTTGGTGGCTTCTAGAGAAGCCGTTTTTTTTCTAATAGCCTTAGCATTCAAAGCTAAAGACTGTCAATTATCTGAGCTATTTTAGCTGAAAAGCTGTCCTTTTGTTCCTGTTGTTCTTCTTTGAAAAACAAACGTTTCATCACTGATTGGCAGTTTTCTTTACTGTCCAAATTTGTGCTGTGAATCTTCTTCATATGCCTGTCAAGCCATGAAATGAATATGTTGATTGACATGCTTCACCAAAGAGCAGTTTACTAGGTTTTGAAGAGGATGCTTTAAATTGTTCTTCTTGGTCTTTCTTGATGACATCGTTTCAAATGTTTGTCCAACCCTTTGAAATACAAGCCAGCTTGTTAACAACCAGAAAATCAGCAGTAAACATCTGAAGCCATGATTTCTAATAACGCTTACTCAGTAGCTACGCAATCGAACTTTGTCTGCCATTGGCTTGGCAATACAAATGTACAATGTACACCTGGGATTTGAGGCCAGATGTATTTGCATAATCATAGTAAGCACGTGGCACCTCGTGCTTGACTTCATTTGCCTATCAAAAACGCAAAAACAAATAATGCCTTCTCTGCAGAGCGCACTATGCGATTCGTGCCAGGGTTCAGTGCTATTTAGAGTTCAACCCTCATTTAAAATGGAATTACTGTTTTTCGATTTTCTTTTGTAATATTTTCAATTGCTCGAATGGTTCCCTGCCTGGTGGCTACACAGAATTTCTTCTCATTTCTCGTTTTTCCTACTTTTTCCATTCAAAGGAGAAAAGGTGTAACACTTAAACTTGGTCTTAATGTAACTGTAATGAAGTTGAAACGAATACAATAAGCTTCTCTCCAATTTTTTTAGGGACAAAATCTTAGAAAAATTGTGTCTTGGGACAGGAAGACATGAAGCTGAACTGTAATTTGGTATGTATATTATTTCGTCCCGAGAAGACCATTTCAAGGTTTTTTTCCTTTGAGGGAAAGGAAGAACAACAGGAAAACATGGCCAATCTTTGCTTTAAAGCGCTAACAAGTGTATGCTGCAGTTAAATGGTCATCATTTGTAATAGTCGATCATGCACACGCATTATACCTGTTTTAAGACAGATGTAGACTTTACCACAAGTTGACTTTTTTGAGCAACATAGTTGTGAAAAGAGTGCCCAACGAAAATGGACTTTCAGAAAGTCTAAGGCAGATGTGTAGGAATTTTAGTACCTTCTGGAGGCCTCGGTTGTCGGCTTTGGGTTTACCTCTAGCAAAATTTGGTTTCGTGTCTGGTTTGAATTTGCAACAGAACCTGGAAACAAAAACTTTTTAACCTATTAATTCATTGATCTAGACCATTTTTATGAGCGTCAAAGAACACAATACAATACCTGCACCAAAATGGTGTCGCTCACCGAGATCTTAAGCCAGCAAATATCCTGATCAGCAATTAACATTATTGTGATTTGGCAATCGATGATATAGAGCAAGCCTGGGAATGCCACCCTTTAGTTCGTAAAGTTGCTGATTTTGGCGAAGGCTGCTTTGGTGAAATACAGACTAATTCCAGTCTACAGTCCAAAACGAATCGCGTAAACCAAGGTACACCCATGTATATGGCCCCCGAGATGCTAGTTGAAGAGATGCGATTGCCAGTTGCATCAGCAGTCTTTTGGCATGATCTTCTCTGTCCTTATTAATTGAGCATCTGGTACCCATACTATGGGAAAATTCAAGAAGCCCTAGAAGGGGAAAGCGCCTATTTGGACGTTTGAGAATCTCTTTAAGAACAGGAAAGTTTGAGTTTGATAGCAGCTACACGGTGGAGACCAAGAATGAAAAGATATAATGTGACAAGAGCTGCAAATCCTTTCGCGATGGTGGTGGTTTCTGCCCTCATGTTCTTGTTGTTGCAGAGAAAATTGAAAAGCTGCGAAGCTTCATGGATTCCTACAAGAAATCTAGTAACAAACTGGGCAACATCAGCGCAAACCTCCCTAAACAACTTGGGGGAAAGCCAAATCAAGAAAAGAAACCAAGAAGAGGAAAAAACAATGTGAGCCAGGAACCAGTCCTGTTAGAGGAAGACTATTCCGACATGATGGCACCAAAACCCATGAGGTAAACCGAATATTACCAAAATGACGAGCCCTTCTATGTAGTATTCATTCATCACTATGCAAACGCAACAACATGCATTGGTTGCACAAATGAGTTCCCCAAGCGAGTACAGATAGCACCCTACAACATTGCCATACTTCAAAGAGCGTTACTGGTACCTAAAAAAAAGATGATCAAGGGAATGTTGAAATGGTACCAACCCATAAAAAGAAGGCCAAGAGGTTTTACTGCGTACATAAAAAGAGTGTATTCTTCGAAGGCACCCTTAGTTCTGGAGAGGTTTGGTAACTGTCTCTACTAATGTCCAGGGGCGCTTGAAAGAGAGCCACAAGGATCTATATGCAATGCTAAAGTTTAGATAACAAGAGGATAATGCACAAAGCAAACTCAACTAAAGGAGGAGTAAGATTTCAACTGGTCTTATTGCTACTCATATGATGCCACCTATGAACGATAGAAAAACCAATTGTGAGCGTCCATCTGGCACAGCTTGATGTTATTGTGCATCATTTTTCGGTTACTGCGCCTCTGAAGTGTCATTCCTAGCAAAATTGCCAGGGGCATAGCCAGCCCATACTGAGATCTGTAGGCCCAAGCCTAAAACTTTTTGGTTTGATCGCTCTACCGCTTGTAATAAATTATGCATTGCTGGAGTGAGCTTAAAAGGTTAAGTCTATTGGTGAGGTCAGTGTGTATTAGCAGTGCGTGCAATTTTCAGGATATCTATGTTAAATGAAAGTCAGCCAGGCCTACAACTGGTCGAAAAGCTGGCTACACCCTTGACTGCTTGCTGATCGTGGTAGTGAGCTTTCTTTGTATGTCTGATCCACAATATTTGTCCTGTATCCTTTCGTTTCTCTATTAAGGTTTTGCTCAAATAAATTTTCAAGAATGCAAACGGCTGTCTCCTATAGGTTTTGCCGCACGGATTAAAGAGGGCCCAAAATCTAACTTGCAATGACATTGAACCTATTAATGATTCGGAGATGGACGCTCTACAGCTTCATAGGCTCCTCGTTAGGCCCTGTTCCTTATTCCCAGTAAATTTTCACAACAACAACAGCAACAAAAGTACGTTTCATATTAGCTTGCGATATTTGGTGGTGAGGTGAGGCACGAATATTTGTATTTCCTACTAGGTTATTTAGTTTCTTTTCATGATTTATTTCAGTACCGTGCAGTACACGAAAAATTACTCGCATAATAAGATGATTATCGAAATAGTGAATGCTGCTGATAGAATCAAGGGAATAATCTATCCACAAAAAAAAGTAACTGGTTTGATAAAAATAACATCCTACTATACGTATACTTACTTTTTTTTTTACTTCAGACAACATTGATTCGGGGTGACGGATTTACGGCGTTTAAAAAGAATGAAATAATAAATGAATTAAATGTTTGTAAAAAGCACCCGTTTTAAACAAGTGTGTCAACTACTTTTGTCCCTCATGTAGCTTCGCAAAATAGTAATAATTTCTTGCAAAATTACAACATTTTGAAATGACTTTTAAATACGACTCATTAATAACGGTTTTGGACTGATTAGTGTTCAACTCGGTCTGTAATGATACGAGTGATTACTGAAATGGACGACACAAAGTCCTGGTATCAATTAATCATAACCATTGCAATTTCCGAGGAAATAAATACATCCTTTTTGGTGGAAGAGCTTTTAATAACAATCATCCAAAATAAGGGAAACTTTCCCCAATTTCTCTCTCAGAGACAGTCTAATGTTACAAATTCGTCCAATTTGGAGAATCCCCAGTTTACTAGGTTAAGCGGTTGTTGCTATGCTTATTGAGATAACTTCTGTGATTGGTGGATTTTTGCCAAGTGCAGTTAATAATGAGTTTTAGAAATAAAAAGAGAAGCCTCCAGAGTCGTCAGGAATTGATCAGTAGTTTTATGTTTACACTTATTTCCATGGCAAGAAAACAAATTTAAAGGACGACAAAAGAGAGAAAGAGAAGTGAAAAATGCAGAAGCAGAGCAAACTCCCCAAAACAGAACAGGAATATTCACACAACACCAGCTCTTTGGCCTTGAACTAGAATTTGAACTAAAAGAAATTGTGTCAAGTAATGAAATTTCCGATATTTCTCAAAGACTGCAACTTAGTGAACCCCAAGTTAGACCTTCGTTTTAACACAGACGAGCAAAATGGAGGAGAAAAGGAATGCTACGCAGACCTGATGCTCACTGCAAAAGGAAACTTTACGCTTAAAAGCTTGTTAACTGGATTTATAGCCATTGACATTTTTATGGTTGGTGGCTTCTAGAGAAGCCGTTTTTTTCTAATAGCCTTAGCATTCAAAGCTAAAGACTGTCAATTATCTGAGCTATTTTAGCTGAAAAGCTGTCCTTTTGTTCCTGTTGTTCTTCTTTGAAAACAAACGTTTCATCACTGATTGGCAGTTTTCTTTACTGTCCAAATTTGTGCTGTGAATCTTCTTCATATGCCTGTCAAGCCATGAAATGAATATGTTGATTGACATGCTTCACCAAAGAGCAGTTTACTAGGTTTTGAAGAGGATGCTTTAAATTGTTCTTCTTGGTCTTTCTTGATGACATCGTTTCAAATGTTTGTCCAACCCTTTGAAATACAAGCCAGCTTGTTAACAACCAGAAAATCAGCAGTAAACATCTGAAGCCATGATTTCTAATAACGCTTACTCAGTAGCTACGCAATCGAACTTTGTCTGCCATTGGCTTGGCAATACAAATGTACAATGTACACCTGGGATTTGAGGCCAGATGTATTTGCATAATCATAGTAAGCACGTGGCACCTCGTGCTTGACTTCATTTGCCTATCAAAAACGCAAAACAAATAATGCCTTCTCTGCAGAGCGCACTATGCGATTCGTGCCAGGGTTCAGTGCTATTTAGAGTTCAACCCTCATTTAAAATGGAATTACTGTTTTTCGATTTTCTTTTGTAATATTTTCAATTGCTCGAATGGTTCCCTGCCTGGTGGCTACACAGAATTTCTTCTCATTTCTCGTTTTTCCTACTTTTTCCATTCAAAGGAGAAAAGGTGTAACACTTAAACTTGGTCTTAATGTAACTGTAATGAAGTTGAAACGAATACAATAAGCTTCTCTCCAATTTTTTTTAGGGACAAAATCTTAGAAAAATTGTGTCTTGGGACAGGAAGACATGAAGCTGAACTGTAATTTGGTATGTATATTATTTCGTCCCGAGAAGACCATTTCAAGGTTTTTTTCCTTTGAGGGAAAGGAAGAACAACAGGAAAACATGGCCAATCTTTGCTTTAAAGCGCTAACAAGTGTATGCTGCAGTTAAATGGTCATCATTTGTAATAGTCGATCATGCACACGCATTATACCTGTTTTAAGACAGATGTAGACTTTACCACAAGTTGACTTTTTTGAGCAACATAGTTGTGAAAAGAGTGCCCAACGAAAATGGACTTTCAGAAAGTCTAAGGCAGATGTGTAGGAATTTTAGTACCTTCTGGAGGCCTCGGTTGTCGGCTTTGGGTTTACCTCTAGCAAAATTTGGTTTCGTGTCTGGTTTGAATTTGCAACAGAACCTGGAAACAAAAACTTTTTAACCTATTAATTCATTGATCTAGACCATTTTTATGAGCGTCAAAGAACACAATACAATACCTGCACCAAAATGGTGTCGCTCACCGAGATCTTAAGCCAGCAAATATCCTGATCAGCAATTAACATTATTGTGATTTGGCAATCGATGATATAGAGCAAGCCTGGGAATGCCACCCTTTAGTTCGTAAAGTTGCTGATTTTGGCGAAGGCTGCTTTGGTGAAATACAGACTAATTCCAGTCTACAGTCCAAAACGAATCGCGTAAACCAAGGTACACCCATGTATATGGCCCCCGAGATGCTAGTTGAAGAGATGCGATTGCCAGTTGCATCAGCAGTCTTTTGGCATGATCTTCTCTGTCCTTATTAATTGAGCATCTGGTACCCATACTATGGGAAAATTCAAGAAGCCCTAGAAGGGGAAAGCGCCTATTTGGACGTTTGAGAATCTCTTTAAGAACAGGAAAGTTTGAGTTTGATAGCAGCTACACGGTGGAGACCAAGAATGAAAAGATATAATGTGACAAGAGCTGCAAATCCTTCGCGATGGTGGTGGTTTCTGCCCTCATGTTCTTGTTGTTGCAGAGAAAATTGAAAAGCTGCGAAGCTTCATGGATTCCTACAAGAAATCTAGTAACAAACTGGGCAACATCAGCGCAAACCTCCCTAAACAACTTGGGGGAAAGCCAAATCAAGAAAAGAAACCAAGAAGAGGAAAAAACAATGTGAGCCAGGAACCAGTCCTGTTAGAGGAAGACTATTCCGACATGATGGCACCAAAACCCATGAGGTAAACCGAATATTACCAAAATGACGAGCCCTTCTATGTAGTATTCATTCATCACTATGCAAACGCAACAACATGCATTGGTTGCACAAATGAGTTCCCCAAGCGAGTACAGATAGCACCCTACAACATTGCCATACTTCAAAAAGAGCGTTACTGGTACCTAAAAAAAAAGATGATCAAGGGAATGTTGAAATGGTACCAACCCATAAAAAGAAGGCCAAGAGGTTTTACTGCGTACATAAAGAGTGTATTCTTCGAAGGCACCCTTAGTTCTGGAGAGGTTTGGTAACTGTCTCTACTAATGTCCAGGGGCGCTTGAAAGAGAGCCACAAGGATCTATATGCAATGCTAAAGTTTAGATAACAAGAGGATAATGCACAAAGCAAACTCAACTAAAGGAGGAGTAAGATTTCAACTGGTCTTATTGCTACTCATATGATGCCACCTATGAACGATAGAAAAACCAATTGTGAGCGTCCATCTGGCACAGCTTGATGTTATTGTGCATCATTTTTCGGTTACTGCGCCTCTGAAGTGTCATTCCTAGCAAAATTGCCAGGGGCATAGCCAGCCCATACTGAGATCTGTAGGCCCAAGCCTAAAACTTTTTGGTTTGATCGCTCTACCGCTTGTAATAAATTATGCATTGCTGGAGTGAGCTTAAAAGGTTAAGTCTATTGGTGAGGTCAGTGTGTATTAGCAGTGCGTGCAATTTTCAGGATATCTATGTTAAATGAAAGTCAGCCAGGCCTACAACTGGTCGAAAAGCTGGCTACACCCTTGACTGCTTGCTGATCGTGGTAGTGAGCTTTCTTTGTATGTCTGATCCACAATATTTGTCCTGTATCCTTTCGTTTCTCTATTAAGGTTTTGCTCAAATAAATTTTCAAGAATGCAAACGGCTGTCTCCTATAGGTTTTGCCGCACGGATTAAAGAGGGCCCAAAATCTAACTTGCAATGACATTGAACCTATTAATGATTCGGAGATGGACAGCTCATAGGCTCCTCGTTAGGCCCTGTTCCTTATTCCCAGTAAATTTTCACAACAACAACAGCAACAAAAAAACGTTTCATATTAGCTTGCGATATTTGGTGGTGAGGTGAGGCACGAATATTTGTATTTCCTACTAGGTTATTTAGTTTCTTTTCATGATTTATTTCAGTACCGTGCAGTACACGAAAAATTACTCGCATAATAAGATGATTATCGAAATAGTGAATGCTGCTGATAGAATCAAGGGAATAATCTATCCACAAAAAAAGTAACTGGTTTGATAAAAATAACATCCTACTATACGTATACTTACTTTTTTTTTTACTTCAGACAACATTGATTCGGGGTGACGGATTTACGGCGTTTAAAAAGAATGAAATAATAAATGAATTAAATGTTTGTAAAAAGCACCCGTTTTAAACAAGTGTGTCAACTACTTTTGTCCCTCATGTAGCTTCGCAAAATAGTAATAATTTCTTGCAAAATTACAACATTTTGAAATGACTTTTAAATACGACTCATTAATAACGGTTTTGGACTGATTAGTGTTCAACTCGGTCTGTAATGATACGAGTGATTACTGAAATGGACGACACAAAGTCCTGGTATCAATTAATCATAACCATTGCAATTTCCGAGGAAATAAATACATCCTTTTTTGGTGGAAGAGCTTTTAATAACAATCATCCAAAATAAGGGAAACTTTCCCCAATTTCTCTCTCAGAGACAGTCTAATGTTACAAATTCGTCCAATTTGGAGAATCCCCAGTTTACTAGGTTAAGCGGTTGTTGCTATGCTTATTGAGATAACTTCTGTGATTGGTGGATTTTTGCCAAGTGCAGTTAATAATGAGTTTTAGAAATAAAAAGAGAAGCCTCCAGAGTCGTCAGGAATTGATCAGTAGTTTTATGTTTACACTTATTTCCATGGCAAGAAAACAAATTTAAAGGACGACAAAAGAGAGAAAGAGAAGTGAAAAATGCAGAAGCAGAGCAAACTCCCCAAAACAGAACAGGAATATTCACACAACACCAGCTCTTTGGCCTTGAACTAGAATTTGAACTAAAAGAAATTGTGTCAAGTAATGAAATTTCCGATATTTCTCAAAGACTGCAACTTAGTGAACCCCAAGTTAGACCTTCGTTTTAACACAGACGAGCAAAATGGAGGAGAAAAGGAATGCTACGCAGACCTGATGCTCACTGCAAAAGGAAACTTTACGCTTAAAAAGCTTGTTAACTGGATTTATAGCCATTGACATTTTTATGGTTGGTGGCTTCTAGAGAAGCCGTTTTTTTCTAATAGCCTTAGCATTCAAAGCTAAAGACTGTCAATTATCTGAGCTATTTTTAGCTGAAAAGCTGTCCTTTTGTTCCTGTTGTTCTTCTTTGAAAACAAACGTTTCATCACTGATTGGCAGTTTTCTTTACTGTCCAAATTTGTGCTGTGAATCTTCTTCATATGCCTGTCAAGCCATGAAATGAATATGTTGATTGACATGCTTCACCAAAGAGCAGTTTACTAGGTTTTGAAGAGGATGCTTTAAATTGTTCTTCTTGGTCTTTCTTGATGACATCGTTTCAAATGTTTGTCCAACCCTTTGAAATACAAGCCAGCTTGTTAACAACCAGAAAATCAGCAGTAAACATCTGAAGCCATGATTTCTAATAACGCTTACTCAGTAGCTACGCAATCGAACTTTGTCTGCCATTGGCTTGGCAATACAAATGTACAATGTACACCTGGGATTTGAGGCCAGATGTATTTGCATAATCATAGTAAGCACGTGGCACCTCGTGCTTGACTTCATTTGCCTATCAAAAACGCAAAACAAATAATGCCTTTCTGCTGCAGAGCGCACTATGCGATTCGTGCCAGGGTTCAGTGCTATTTAGAGTTCAACCCTCATTTAAAATGGAATTACTGTTTTTCGATTTTCTTTTGTAATATTTTCAATTGCTCGAATGGTTCCCTGCCTGGTGGCTACACAGAATTTCTTCTCATTTCTCGTTTTTCCTACTTTTTCCATTCAAAGGAGAAAAGGTGTAACACTTAAACTTGGTCTTAATGTAACTGTAATGAAGTTGAAACGAATACAATAAGCTTCTCTCCAATTTTTTTTAGGGACAAAATCTTAGAAAAATTGTGTCTTGGGACAGGAAGACATGAAGCTGAACTGTAATTTGGTATGTATATTATTTCGTCCCGAGAAGACCATTTCAAGGTTTTTTTCCTTTGAGGGAAAGGAAGAACAACAGGAAAACATGGCCAATCTTTGCTTTAAAGCGCTAACAAGTGTATGCTGCAGTTAAATGGTCATCATTTGTAATAGTCGATCATGCACACGCATTATACCTGTTTTAAGACAGATGTAGACTTTACCACAAGTTGACTTTTTGAGCAACATAGTTGTGAAAAAAGAGTGCCCAACGAAAATGGACTTTCAGAAAGTCTAAGGCAGATGTGTAGGAATTTTAGTACCTTCTGGAGGCCTCGGTTGTCGGCTTTGGGTTTACCTCTAGCAAAATTTGGTTTCGTGTCTGGTTTGAATTTGCAACAGAACCTGAAACAAAAACTTTTTAACCTATTAATTCATTGATCTAGACCATTTTTATGAGCGTCAAAGAACACAATACAATACCTGCACCAAAATGGTGTCGCTCACCGAGATCTTAAGCCAGCAAATATCCTGATCAGCAATTAACATTATTGTGATTTGGCAATCGATGATATAGAGCAAGCCTGGGAATGCCACCCTTTAGTTCGTAAAGTTGCTGATTTTGGCGAAGGCTGCTTTGGTGAAATACAGACTAATTCCAGTCTACAGTCCAAAACGAATCGCGTAGAACCAAGGTACACCCATGTATATGGCCCCCGAGATGCTAGTTGAAGAGATGCGATTGCCAGTTGCATCAGCAGTCTTTTGGCATGATCTTCTCTGTCCTTATTAATTGAGCATCTGGTACCCATACTATGGGAAAATTCAAGAAGCCCTAGAAGGGGAAAGCGCCTATTTGGACGTTTGAGAATCTCTTTAAGAACAGGAAAGTTTGAGTTTGATAGCAGCTACACGGTGGAGACCAAGAATGAAAAGATATAATGTGACAAGAGCTGCAAATCCTTTCGCGATGGTGGTGGTTTCTGCCCTCATGTTCTTGTTGTTGCAGAGAAAATTGAAAAGCTGCGAAGCTTCATGGATTCCTACAAGAAATCTAGTAACAAACTGGGCAACATCAGCGCAAACCTCCCTAAACAACTTGGGGGAAAGCCAAATCAAGAAAAGAAACCAAGAAGAGGAAAAAAAACAATGTGAGCCAGGAACCAGTCCTGTTAGAGGAAGACTATTCCGACATGATGGCACCAAAACCCATGAGGTAAACCGAATATTACCAAAATGACGAGCCCTTCTATGTAGTATTCATTCATCACTATGCAAACGCAACAACATGCATTGGTTGCACAAATGAGTTCCCCAAGCGAGTACAGATAGCACCCTACAACATTGCCATACTTCAAAAAAGAGCGTTACTGGTACCTAAAAAAAATGATGATCAAGGGAATGTTGAAATGGTACCAACCCATAAAAAGAAGGCCAAGAGGTTTTACTGCGTACATAAAGAGTGTATTCTTCTTCAAGGCACCCTTAGTTCTGGAGAGGTTTGGTAACTGTCTCTACTAATGTCCAGGGGCGCTTGAAAGAGAGCCACAAGGATCTATATGCAATGCTAAAGTTTAGATAACAAGAGGATAATGCACAAAGCAAACTCAACTAAAGGAGGAGTAAGATTTCAACTGGTCTTATTGCTACTCATATGATGCCACCTATGAACGATAGAAAAACCAATTGTGAGCGTCCATCTGGCACAGCTTGATGTTATTGTGCATCATTTTTCGGTTACTGCGCCTCTGAAGTGTCATTCCTAGCAAAATTGCCAGGGGGCATAGCCAGCCCATACTGAGATCTGTAGGCCCAAGCCTAAAACTTTTTGGTTTGATCGCTCTACCGCTTGTAATAAATTATGCATTGCTGGAGTGAGCTTAAAAGGTTAAGTCTATTGGTGAGGTCAGTGTGTATTAGCAGTGCGTGCAATTTTCAGGATATCTATGTTAAATGAAAGTCAGCCAGGCCTACAACTGGTCGAAAAGCTGGCTACACCCTTGACTGCTTGCTGATCGTGGTAGTGAGCTTTCTTTGTATGTCTGATCCACAATATTTGTCCTGTATCCTTTCGTTTCTCTATTAAGGTTTTGCTCAAATAAATTTTCAAGAATGCAAACGGCTGTCTCCTATAGGTTTTGCCGCACGGATTAAAGAGGGCCCAAAATCTAACTTGCAATGACATTGAACCTATTAATGATTCGGAGATGGACGCTCATAGGCTCCTCGTTAGGCCCTGTTCCTTATTCCCAGTAAATTTTCACAACAACAACAGCAACAAAAGTACGTTTCATATTAGCTTGCGATATTTGGTGGTGAGGTGAGGCACGAATATTTGTATTTCCTACTAGGTTATTTAGTTTCTTTTCATGATTTATTTCAGTACCGTGCAGTACACGAAAAATTACTCGCATAATAAGATGATTATCGAAATAGTGAATGCTGCTGATAGAATCAAGGGAATAATCTATCCACAAAAAAGTAACTGGTTTGATAAAAATAACATCCTACTATACGTATACTTACTTTTTTTTTACTTCAGACAACATTGATTCGGGGGGTGACGGGATTTACGGCGTTTAAAAAGAATGAAATAATAAATGAATTAAATGTTTGTAAAAAGCACCCGTTTTAAACAAGTGTGTCAACTACTTTTGTCCCTCACGTAGCTTCGCAAAATAGTAATAATTTCTTGCAAAATTACAACATTTTGAAATGACTTTTAAATACGACTCATTAATAACGGTTTTGGACTGATTAGTGTTCAACTCGGTCTGTAATGATACGAGTGATTACTGAAATGGACGACACAAAGTCCTGGTATCAATTAATCATAACCATTGCAATTTCCGAGGAAATAAATACATCCTTTTTTTTGGTGGAAGAGCTTTTAATAACAATCATCCAAAATAAGGGAAACTTTCCCCAATTTCTCTCTCAGAGACAGTCTAATGTTACAAATTCGTCCAATTTGGAGAATCCCCAGTTTACTAGGTTAAGCGGTTGTTGCTATGCTTATTGAGATAACTTCTGTGATTGGTGGATTTTTGCAAGTGCAGTTAATAATGAGTTTTAGAAATAAAAAGAGAAGCCTCCAGAGTCGTCAGGAATTGATCAGTAGTTTTATGTTTACACTTATTTCCATGGCAAGAAAACAAATTTAAAGGACGACAAAAAGAGAAAAGAGAAGTGAAAAATGCAGAAGCAGAGCAAACTCCCCAAAACAGAACAGGAATATTCACACAACACCAGCTCTTTGGCCTTGAACTAGAATTTGAACTAAAAGAAATTGTGTCAAGTAATGAAATTTCCGATATTTCTCAAAGACTGCAACTTAGTGAACCCCAAGTTAGACCTTCGTTTTAACACAGACGAGCAAAATGGAGGAGAAAAGGAATGCTACGCAGACCTGATGCTCACTGCAAAAGGAAACTTTACGCTTAAAAGCTTGTTAACTGGATTTATAGCCATTGACATTTTTATGGTTGGTGGCTTCTAGAGAAGCCGTTTTTTTCTAATAGCCTTAGCATTCAAAGCTAAAGACTGTCAATTATCTGAGCTATTTTAGCTGAAAAGCTGTCCTTTTGTTCCTGTTGTTCTTCTTTGGAAAACAAACGTTTCATCACTGATTGGCAGTTTTCTTTACTGTCCAAATTTGTGCTGTGAATCTTCTTCATATGCCTGTCAAGCCATGAAATGAATATGTTGATTGACATGCTTCACCAAAGAGCAGTTTACTAGGTTTTGAAGAGGATGCTTTAAATTGTTCTTCTTGGTCTTTCTTGGATGACATCGTTTCAAATGTTTGTCCAACCCTTTGAAATACAAGCCAGCTTGTTAACAACCAGAAAATCAGCAGTAAACATCTGAAGCCATGATTTCTAATAACGCTTACTCAGTAGCTACGCAATCGAACTTTGTCTGCCATTGGCTTGGCAATACAAATGTACAATGTACACCTGGGATTTGAGGCCAGATGTATTTGCATAATCATAGTAAGCACGTGGCACCTCGTGCTTGACTTCATTTGCCTATCAAAAAACGCAAAACAAATAATGCCTTCTCTGCAGAGCGCACTATGCGATTCGTGCCAGGGTTCAGTGCTATTTAGAGTTCAACCCTCATTTAAAATGGAATTACTGTTTTTCGATTTTCTTTTGTAATATTTTCAATTGCTCGAATGGTTCCCTGCCTGGTGGCTACACAGAATTTCTTCTCATTTCTCGTTTTTCCTACTTTTTCCATTCAAAGGAGAAAAGGTGTAACACTTAAACTTGGTCTTAATGTAACTGTAATGAAGTTGAAACGAATACAATAAGCTTCTCTCCAATTTTTTTTTTAGGGACAAAATCTTAGAAAAATTGTGTCTTGGGACAGGAAGACATGAAGCTGAACTGTAATTTGGTATGTATATTATTTCGTCCCGAGAAGACCATTTCAAGGTTTTTTTTTTCCTTTGAGGGAAAGGAAGAACAACAGGAAAACATGGCCAATCTTTGCTTTAAAGCGCTAACAAGTGTATGCTGCAGTTAAATGGTCATCATTTGTAATAGTCGATCATGCACACGCATTATACCTGTTTTAAGACAGATGTAGACTTTACCACAAGTTGACTTTTTTTGAGCAACATAGTTGTGAAAAGAGTGCCCAACGAAAATGGACTTTCAGAAAGTCTAAGGCAGATGTGTTGGAATTTTAGTACCTTCTGGAGGCCTCGGTTGTCGGCTTTGGGTTTACCTCTAGCAAAATTTGGTTTCGTGTCTGGTTTGAATTTGCAACAGAACCTGGAAACAAAAACTTTTTAACCTATTAATTCATTGATCTAGACCATTTTTATGAGCGTCAAAGAACACAATACAATACCTGCACCAAAATGGTGTCGCTCACCGAGATCTTAAGCCAGCAAATATCCTGATCAGCAATTAACATTATTGTGATTTGGCAATCGATTATATAGAGCAAGCCTGGGAATGCCACCCTTTAGTTCGTAAAGTTGCTGATTTTGGCGAAGGCTGCTTTGGTGAAATACAGACTAATTCCAGTCTACAGTCCAAAACGAATCGCGTAAACCAAGGTACACCCATGTATATGGCCCCCCCCGATGCTAGTTGAAGAGATGCGATTGCCAGTTGCATCAGCAGTCTTTTGGCATGATCTTCTCTGTCCTTATTAATTGAGCATCTGGTACCCATACTATGGGAAAATTCAAGAAGCCCTAGAAGGGGAAAGCGCCTATTTGGACGTTTGAGAATCTCTTTAAGAACAGGAAAGTTTGAGTTTGATAGCAGCTACACGGTGGAGACCAAGAATGAAAAGATATAATGTGACAAGAGCTGCAAATCCTTTCGCGATGGTGGTGGTTTCTGCCCTCATGTTCTTGTTGTTGCAGAGAAAATTGAAAAGCTGCGAAGCTTCATGGATTCCTACAAGAAATCTAGTAACAAACTGGGCAACATCAGCGCAAACCTCCCTAAACAACTTGGGGGAAAGCCAAATCAAGAAAAGAAACCAAGAAGAGGAAAAAACAATGTGAGCCAGGAACCAGTCCTGTTAGAGGAAGACTATTCCGACATGATGGCACCAAAACCCATGAGGTAAACCGAATATTACCAAAATGACGAGCCCTTCTATGTAGTATTCATTCATCACTATGCAAACGCAACAACATGCATTGGTTGCACAAATGAGTTCCCCAAGCGAGTACAGATAGCACCCTACAACATTGCCATACTTCGCAAAGAGCGTTACTGGTACCTAAAAAAAGATGATCAAGGGAATGTTGAAATGGTACCAACCCATAAAAAGAAGGCCAAGAGGTTTTACTGCGTACATAAAGAGTGTATTCTTCGAAGGCACCCTTAGTTCTGGAGAGGTTTGGTAACTGTCTCTACTAATGTCCAGGGGCGCTTGAAAGAGAGCCACAAGGATCTATATGCAATGCTAAAGTTTAGATAACAAGAGGATAATGCACAAAGCAAACTCAACTAAAGGAGGAGTAAGATTTCAACTGGTCTTATTGCTACTCATATGATGCCACCTATGAACGATAGAAAAACCAATTGTGAGCGTCCATCTGGCACAGCTTGATGTTATTGTGCATCATTTTTCGGTTACTGCGCCTCTGAAGTGTCATTCCTAGCAAAATTGCCAGGGGCATAGCCAGCCCATACTGAGATCTGTAGGCCCAAGCCTAAAACTTTTTGGTTTGATCGCTCTACCGCTTGTAATAAATTATGCATTGCTGGAGTGAGCTTAAAAGGTTAAGTCTATTGGTGAGGTCAGTGTGTATTAGCAGTGCGTGCAATTTTCAGGATATCTATGTTAAATGAAAGTCAGCCAGGCCTACAACTGGTCGAAAAGCTGGCTACACCCTTGACTGCTTGCTGATCGTGGTAGTGAGCTTTCTTTGTATGTCTGATCCACAATATTTGTCCTGTATCCTTTCGTTTCTCTATTAAGGTTTTGCTCAAATAAATTTTCAAGAATGCAAACGGCTGTCTCCTATAGGTTTTGCCGCACGGATTAAAGAGGGCCCAAAATCTAACTTGCAATGACATTGAACCTATTAATGATTCGGAGATGGACGCTCTACAGCTTCATAGGCTCCTCGTTAGGCCCTGTTCCTTATTCCCAGTAAATTTTCACAACAACAACAGCAACAAAAGTACGTTTCATATTAGCTTGCGATATTTGGTGGTGAGGTGAGGCACGAATATTTGTATTTCCTACTAGGTTATTTAGTTTCTTTTCATGATTTATTTCAGTACCGTGCAGTACACGAAAAATTACTCGCATAATAAGATGATTATCGAAATAGTGAATGCTGCTGATAGAATCAAGGGAATAATCTATCCACAAAAAAAAGTAACTGGTTTGATAAAAATAACATCCTACTATACGTATACTTACTTTTTTTTTTTACTCAGACAACATTGATTCGGGGGTGACGGATTTACGGCGTTTAAAAAGAATGAAATAATAAATGAATTAAATGTTTGTAAAAAGCACCCGTTTTAAACAAGTGTGTCAACTACTTTTGTCCCTCATGTAGCTTCGCAAAATAGTAATAATTTCTTGCAAAATTACAACATTTTGAAATGACTTTTAAATACGACTCATTAATAACGGTTTTGGACTGATTAGTGTTCAACTCGGTCTGTAATGATACGAGTGATTACTGAAATGGACGACACAAAGTCCTGGTATCAATTAATCATAACCATTGCAATTTCCGAGGAAATAAATACATCCTTTTTTGGTGGAAGAGCTTTTAATAACAATCATCCAAAATAAGGGAAACTTTCCCCAATTTCTCTCTCAGAGACAGTCTAATGTTACAAATTCGTCCAATTTGGAGAATCCCCAGTTTACTAGGTTAAGCGGTTGTTGCTATGCTTATTGAGATAACTTCTGTGATTGGTGGATTTTTGCCAAGTGCAGTTAATAATGAGTTTTAGAAATAAAAAGAGAAGCCTCCAGAGTCGTCAGGAATTGATCAGTAGTTTTATGTTTACACTTATTTCCATGGCAAGAAAACAAATTTAAAGGACGACAAAAGAGAGAAAGAGAAGTGAAAAAAAATGCAGAAGCAGAGCAACCTCCCCAAAACAGAACAGGAATATTCACACAACACCAGCTCTTTGGCCTTGAACTAGAATTTGAACTAAAAGAAATTGTGTCAAGTAATGAAATTTCCGATATTTCTCAAAGACTGCAACTTAGTGAACCCCAAGTTAGACCTTCGTTTTAACACAGACGAGCAAAATGGAGGAGAAAAGGAATGCTACGCAGACCTGATGCTCACTGCAAAAGGAAACTTTACGCTTAAAAAGCTTGTTAACTGGATTTATAGCCATTGACATTTTTATGGTTGGTGGCTTCTAGAGAAGCCGTTTTTTTTCTAATAGCCTTAGCATTCAAAGCTAAAGACTGTCAATTATCTGAGCTATTTTAGCTGAAAAGCTGTCCTTTTGTTCCTGTTGTTCTTCTTTGGAAAACAAACGTTTCATCACTGATTGGCAGTTTTCTTTACTGTCCAAATTTGTGCTGTGAATCTTCTTCATATGCCTGTCAAGCCATGAAATGAATATGTTGATTGACATGCTTCACCAAAGAGCAGTTTACTAGGTTTTGAAGAGGATGCTTTAAATTGTTCTTCTTGGTCTTTCTTGGATGACATCGTTTCAAATGTTTGTCCAACCCTTTGAAATACAAGCCAGCTTGTTAACAACCAGAAAATCAGCAGTAAACATCTGAAGCCATGATTTCTAATAACGCTTACTCAGTAGCTACGCAATCGAACTTTGTCTGCCATTGGCTTGGCAATACAAATGTACAATGTACACCTGGGATTTGAGGCCAGATGTATTTGCATAATCATAGTAAGCACGTGGCACCTCGTGCTTGACTTCATTTGCCTATCAAAAACGCAAAACAAATAATGCCTTCTCTGCAGAGCGCACTATGCGATTCGTGCCAGGGTTCAGTGCTATTTAGAGTTCAACCCTCATTTAAAATGGAATTACTGTTTTTCGATTTTCTTTTGTAATATTTTCAATTGCTCGAATGGTTCCCTGCCTGGTGGCTACACAGAATTTCTTCTCATTTCTCGTTTTTCCTACTTTTTCCATTCAAAGGAGAAAAGGTTTAACACTTAAACTTGGTCTTAATGTAACTGTAATGAAGTTGAAACGAATACAATAAGCTTCTCTCCAATTTTTTTTAGGGACAAAATCTTAGAAAAATTGTGTCTTGGGACAGGAAGACATGAAGCTGAACTGTAATTTGGTATGTATATTATTTCGTCCCGAGAAGACCATTTCAAGGTTTTTTTTTTTTTGAGGGAAAGGAAGAACAACAGGAAAACATGGCCAATCTTTGCTTTAAAGCGCTAACAAGTGTATGCTGCAGTTAAATGGTCATCATTTGTAATAGTCGATCATGCACACGCATTATACCTGTTTTAAGACAGATGTAGACTTTACCACAAGTTGACTTTTTTGAGCAACATAGTTGTGAAAAGAGTGCCCAACGAAAATGGACTTTCAGAAAGTCTAAGGCAGATGTGTAGGAATTTTAGTACCTTCTGGAGGCCTCGGTTGTCGGCTTTGGGTTTACCTCTAGCAAAATTTGGTTTCGTGTCTGGTTTGAATTTGCAACAGAACCTGGAAACAAAAACTTTTTAACCTTTGAATTCATTGATCTAGACCATTTTTATAAGCGTCAAAGAACACGTCTTTTTTCCCCGTACTTTTTTCTAGGCTAGAGAGAACATATATATTAAAACCAACTGTTTAATTCTTCAGCTGATTCTACTCCCAATGCCTTAATCTTCAAGTAGGGTAACCAACTGACTGCGGGCGTTTCTCTCTTTTTTTTTTTAAAACCCTTGCAGGTAACTATTAACAGAGGCCTGGAACTAACAATCTCATCTTTAAAGCGCTCAGAAACTCCACCTATTTATGACAAAAAGTAAACGTGTCAATTAGTGCACTTAAATAAAGCCCGTGTTCGAAAAAAACAATCCGGACAGTCATCTAATGTCTGTCCAGAATGTCAGGAAATCACAAAATTAACCATGTCCGCAGCACTAATAATTTTCACTATCTACAACCAACCAGGTACAAAGTTTCCACACTTAATACGCACCAAATATCATCAAGTTACTCACCAGTTTAGCCAAAAAGAGAAAAATGATAACATTATTGGCTGATGGCAGACTTTCCTAATCGTGAGAACTGTTCCTTCATGAGGCTTAATCACGCTTGATACAGAAGAGATTTCCCAAAACCAGTAGGAAGATTAATAAAAACATCCTTTCCTTCTTCCACTATTTTCGTAATTTTTGCTAACAACGTCAAAAGCTTCTTCAATGGTCGCCATTTTGGAAGCAGTGGACTCCAAGATAAAAGAAACAATATGATTGGTTAGATTACGTTGGCGCGCCTAGTTCCCGAAATATGTAAACTACATGGTGATTGGTTTAAGTGGTGGAAAGGAATGTTGTTTGAATGTGAGCAGCCGTTTGTGGGGAGGAGCGTTGCGTGACGATACTAAAAACGGCTGCGAGGGAGACTATACAAATCCTGGTTGTTGGTTGATATTTTAACCTACCTAACCAATTGGACAAGAATGGAAACTATTTCAGTCCTTTTAAGACTACTTTTCATAGTTTTCCTAGTTACAGATTGGAAACGTTTTTCTCATATGCTGAAACAAAGTGTATGAGCAGTTTACTTCTAATTTGGACAACAATTTATCTGACAAGAGAAAGAGAGAGGGCGAGGCGATGGACCTCCGGTGAGATGTCTGAAACTCTTTCAACAGAATCTTCGGACTTTGTTGATAGAATCCATGCCATCATATTGTAGAGCAGATCAGGTACCATCTCAATCTCACACTCTAAATCTTCTGATGATGGTGGCCATGGCATTTTTGGTTTCATGTTGGCAACTAACTTTTGTATTGTTTTAGCCGTATGGTAAACTTGACGGCTTACATCGTCTTGTGCATTTGTTAAATCCAGCTCACTGTCACTGTTTGCCACTTGCTCTTCATCAACAGACATAGTACTCTTGAACACAGTTTCTACCACCTCTCCTGTTTTCACTTGCGAACCATGGACTAATTCTGAATGGTTTTGGTTCGAAGGTAGATGAAAGGACAGTCGTTCTCCAAAAAAACGCGTAAGCGGTCGTTCAGCTTTGTGGACCTCTACGTCACCACATCTACTCCTTCTTCTGTAAGGAAGGACGTGTATTTCTCAATAAGGGTTGACATCGGAATGGCTTTTGCCGCAGCCGTGACTTCTTTTTCAACAAATTCTTTGACTTTACCAAATGCTCTGTCATAACCCTCAGTTCCGGCATCTTCTTGACAATTCTGCTCTTCTAACTTAGCCACTGGCTTTGGGTTGGACATAATTTTTGTAGCACGATCGAGGATACTTGATCTCCATGGCTATAGTGTCTCGTCCATCAATGTGCAAGAGCATGTGGCTGTCATTCCGAATCCGGGCTGCTTTTATCAAAGTGGCTCTACCAAATTCACTCATGTTTAGTGTAAGTGGTTTTCTTGTTCTTGCTCCTTTGCCGTAGGCGTTCTTGACTTTGTCCTTCTGAGAAATTGCCCATTTATCAACGTCAAATGTTTGAAGTTGTGACCTACAGACCCTCTTACACGAAGGCTCAATGCCACTGGACTGCCCAAGAGACTCTCCATCTCGATCCTCTCTGGTATTGCAATGACTTTGTTCCTCCTTAGACACTTTGTTTATGTCTGTGTATTCTTGGTAGCATTGCCGGTGATATCCCCCTTTTGGTCCCTCATTCCGGTAGTCCTTCATCATCAACCAGATTTCATCCCTTCTCCGAGTCGAGTAGCTTTCAAACTTTTCCCAGCTTTTGCTAGTAAATGCTGTTAATTGACCTTGAACATTTTCTTTCACATGACAAAGGCACCTATTCCAGTTAGGTTTCTATATCGAGCTGGACATTAAGCGCTTTCTAGTACAACTTACTGGCGTAATTTCTGCCATATCCTTGATTACACTAGCTTGTTCTCTGAAACTCTTCAAATGTTACTAGAGAATTAAAAGAGGCAAAAAACCTTATTTCCTTAACACGAGCAAAAACTTATTGAAAACATAACTTATACGTTTCATTTGACCGCTTCTACGCCAACAACTTCCGTGTCGATGTTGTAGTGAAAACAAAATCTGACAGACTACTTACAGTTATTCTAGTAATGTTCTGTGGGAATTTTAGATTTGAAAAATAAAATATATCATACAGAAACTTACAGACGTTGCTTGAGTTTATCTTGCACAACCAAGAATCGAAATTAAGAGGAAAATCTGTATAAAACCACAATTCTCTTACCATTTTTCCTGCACACCATTTTCCAAGATGGCCGCTCATGGATAATAAGTTTGAATTGCATCATGGGATATACAATCTGGAACGGAACTTTCATGGCATAGCGGACACTGGATTATTATCAAAATGTGCCGGCTCTTCTTTCATTTAAAAAATAATAGAAGAAAACACTTTACAGATTTTGGTCTGTCCACTAGCCTCAAATCTATTTTGAGTTTTTATTTTTTTCTCTCCTATTAAAAGAATTACAACAATTGTGAAACAAATGAACTGGTTGACTTGCGGGAATATTACTGATCCTTAAAGCCTGTGACATTCTTTATAGTTCATAAAAAGTAAATAGTTTACAAAAAGAATGATGCTAATAATGCTTTGGTGTTCAAAAAATAGTGTCTGTGAGAAATCCTGTTCATAATGTACGTATTAATGTAATATCCCTGTTTGAAATATTTGCCTAGCAATGGTCACCATGGTAACACGCTATTGAGATGTAGACAAAGACGAGTACAGCACTTTACTTAAAATAAACTTTTCGTCAGTCTTCTCCATATTGGATCAGCAGTTTTTGAAGTATTTGTTGTTTTAAGCCTTAAAAATGTATTTGTGCCAAAATGTAAAACCGTCCCCCCACCTCCCTCAGAAACAAGTGATTTTCTCACTTAGGCACAGGTTACATAGAAAGTAACAGGTAGATTATTCAAATATATACAATGAGAGTTAATTTGATACCAAATTCGGTATGTCTTACGGGGGTGCCACGGAAATTGTTTTTAAGGTGTCTTGGCTCATGGACTACTTATCTGAACTCTTAAGTTGCAAAATTGAGACAGGACATCAGGGAGAGGCTAGCGTACAATTACCGATTTCAGCGTGTCAATCTTACCAAACGAGAACGGGTAGCTTTAAAAAGACTAAGTCACAATAAAGATATAATAATAAAACCGGCGGATAAGGGTGGAGCCACAGTAATTCTCAACACAGGG